TACCACTCAGCAGATTCCATCATGCAGTGATCACAACATTATACAACTGCTAAAACACAGAGAATAATGGCTTAGCCAAGTTGACGGACAATCTTAACCATCCCACTCCTCAAGGGACAGCACTGTCTCTTACTCATCTTTGCACACACAGCCAAGGACAGGTGTTCAATGCATGCTTACGAACAGCTGTGGAAATGAAAACTGATTCTACCTTAAGGTAATATGATACACTTAGGAAACTATCAAAATAAAATAAAAATGGTAAAATCCACTGAGAGTGAAGATGCGAATAAATACATTTAAATTTGGAACCAATTTATTGCACTGCCAGTAATCTCCCTCTAAAACAATCGGACACTAAGAAAAGTTACAAAACTTATAAAATAAGCTACTTGCCCTGTGACTTAGAAATCCCACACTGGAAGACATATTTAAGAAGATAAACAAAAGGAAACAGATTCACAGCAGCACTATTTTTAAGAGCGAGAAGCAATACGAATACTCAACAACCGGAGAACAGCTAGGCAAACTGCTGAACAGCCACACACAATGGAATACTATCTAACCAAAAAAACCAAACCCACTGCCATCGAGTCAATTCCGACACACAGCAACCCTACAGGACAGAGGAGAACTGCCCCACAGGGTCTCCAAGGCTGTAAATCTTTATGGACGCAGACTGCCACATCCTTCTCCTGCAGAACAGCTGGAGGGTTCGAACCACTGACCTTTTGGTTAGCAGCCGAGTGCTTATAACCACTGCGCCACCAGGGCTCCTTCTGGAATACTATTTATTAAAAAGAAAAACTGGTTGAAAACATAAGACATCATTTCTCTGGAATAAATTTTAGAGAAAATAGCAGAATATGGAAGTAATCTGTTGTTGTTGTTAGGTGCTGTCAAGTTAATTTCCAATCATAGTGACCCCATGTGACAGAGCAGAACTGCCCCAGAGGGTTTTCTAGGCTGTAATCTTCATGGGAGCAGATCGCCAGGCCTTTCTCCCACAGAGCTGCTGGGTGGGTTTGAACCACCAACCTTTCAGTTAGCAGCCAAGCGCTTAAACACTGCACCACCAGGGCTCCATAGCTATAATAATAATAATTTAATTCCTCAGTCAGAATTTGTCCCGAGGCCTGCCTCACGCTGTGCGTCTAACCGCCCATGTGAGATCTAAGAGGAGCACCATGCTCATTTAATAAAAGAGAAAATTAAACCATGTAGAAGCCACTGTCCCCAGCCAGAAGGTAGCCTTCTGACTTCCTGTTTCAATGTTTTAGTCACCAGTTCGTCCCATTTCTGTCATACTGCCCAAAAGTTTGCCAAAACGATCACTTTAAGGCGAGTCAGAGAATACTCAGGCATTTCCAGGAAAGACGAGCTGGGGTGAGTTGAGAGAATGTTAAAAAGGAAAGAGAGCTACAGGGAAAGACACAATACAGTAATTCCAGTCTCACTGATTCGCGAAAAAAAGGACATATTTAAGAAATCTAGTAAATGAAAAAAATCACTAGAGACACTGTCTAATTAACTAGACTTTAGAAAGGTGCCATATTAGAAACCAAAGGGGAAAAACATCTTCGTAAAGCATTAGAATTGCCAGCTAGCAGCTTCATCATCTGGATATCTAGCACAATGACAGCCACAAAAAGCAACGATGACATGGACAAAACGTTGCTAAATGTTGAGGCTGGGTAAGAGGCACATGGGGTTCACTGTATTATTCTATTTCGTTATGTTTGAAAAATGTCTACAATACAAAAACGTTTACAGAAAGCAGTGCTAAACGGCAACTGGGAGACTACATCTAGGAAAACTGCTCGCATCTAAATTAGGTAAGCTTTGTTAAATTCCTTCATCAGATTCAAGTAGAGGAAATAAATAGTTAATCATCCTAACTAACATACAAATGATGATCGGGTTGCACTGCACTCCAAACCACACTCAATTGTGAAAATGAACAAAAGTGTCTGGAAAGGACAGCCCTTAGAAACAACACCCTAACAGACGAGGGATGGAGAAAGGCATCACAACTAAGCCTGTCTGGCAAAGAGCAGTGACGTTTGATCAGAAAAGCCTGTTTTCGGAAAAGACCACGTCACCAAAAAGGCAAAGTCAAAGAGCTCCACAAACCCGCTCTGCCAGGAGGGCAGTGATCTGGAGCTCACTCCACGCCCAGCATCTGACAGAGCCCAGGGAGGCTCCTCATGACTTCCCCGACCCACTAGAAAGGTCTGTGAAGGAAGAGAAGAGAATCTCATCCACCACCCTCTCTTCCCGCGCCGGGATCTGCCAGGTACCACAGTCCACGTGCGGGGGCCAGCCTCAAAGTACCAGCCACTCACGTTTGGCAACGGGGTGCCGGGAAGGCCCAAGCCAGAAGACCTGGGCTTACAGCCCTGCCATCACAGGCCTGTGGGAGCTGGGGAGGTCACTCTGACCTCCTGATACACCTCTGTGAAACTGGGACACAGACAACAGACCCAGGCAGAGGGTCATCCTACAAAATGAAAGACCTGTCGTCTCTGAGGATGCCGGTGGCACAGTGGTTAAGAGCTCAGCTGCTAACCAAAAGGCTGGCAGTTTGGATCCACCAGCCGCTCCCTGAAAACCCCACGAGGCAGTTCTACTCTGTCCTATAGGGTCTCCGAGTCGGAATCGACTCGACGGCAATGAGTTTTTTTGGTTTATAATCTTTGAAACTATCAAGGACACGAGAGACACGTATAGAGAGAGGAACGAGGACCGTTACAGTGAAGGAGACGGATGAGACATAACCACTAAAGGTGACCGGGTCCCTGGAAGGGGTCCTGGACCAGAAAAGAGATGCCGTGGGGACAGCTGGCAAAACCTGAATGGGGCCTATGGACGGCACAGCTGCATCATCAACACCCAACGTGCCGTATCAACGCTGATTTCATAATCGGGAGGCACATCCAGTGGCAATGCAGGAGAACGCGTTCACTCTCGGAAGGCACCAAACGGAGTATTCAGGGAACGGGTTAGTTGCCTAGTGCTGCCGCAAGAGAAACACCAACGGGTGGCTTTAAAGAACAGAAATTTATCTCCTCGCAGTTCTGGAGGCTGGAAGTCCAAATCAGGACGTCGGCTCTAGAGAAGGGTCCTCCCTTGTCTCTTTCAGCTTCCAGTAGCTGCCGGCAATCCTTGACCTTCCTGGGCCTGGAGACTCAGCTGCCTCTGTCTTGGCACAGCACCTCCCTGCCCTGGGTGGGTCCGTGTCCACTCTCCTCTCTAAGACACCACCAAGAACTGGTTAGGGGCAGGACCCACCCTGCTATTTCCAAAGAAGATCATACTTACCGGTACAGGGGCTAGAACTTCAACACAACTTTTTGTCGGATACAATTTAATCCATAATATGGAAGACAGGGTATCACGCTGGAAAAGACTACAGAGAGGGAAGATGGGGAAAACCTGGTACAAATTTTTTTTTTTAAACAGTTGCCATAGAGTTGACTCCCACGCATGTGCAAGATCCAAGTGGGAAATTCTGGTAAAGGGGATGCAAGGGTTCTCTGCACTAGTCTTGCAATTTTTCTGTAGGTTTGAAATTACCTCAAAATTAAGTTAAAAAACCACTGGTTTCACCCCTTCGGAAGCAAGGGAGAAGGAAGAAAACTAAAGACACAAAGGAAGCCTTAGTCCAAAGGACTAACGGACTACAACTACCACAGCCTCCACCAGACTGAGTCCAGCACAACTAGATGGTGCCTGGCTACCACCACTGACTGTTCTGACAGGGATCACAATAGAGGGTCCTGGACAGAGCTGGAGAGAAACGTAAAACAAAATTCTAACTCACAAAAAAAGACCAGATTTACTGGCCTGACAGAGACTGAAGAAACCCAGAGACTATGGCCCCCAGACACTCTTTTAGCTCAGTAATAAAGTCACTCCTGAGGGTCACCCTTCAGCCACAGATCAGACAGCCCCATAAAACAAAACAAGACTAACGGGGCACAACAGCCCAGGGACAAGGACTAGAAGGCAGGACAGGAAAGCTGGTAATAGGGAGCCCAAGGTCGAGAAGGGGAGTGTGTTGACATGTCATGGGGTTGGCAACCAATGTCACAAAACAATACGTGTACTGTTTACTGAGAAGTTAGTATGTTCTGTAAACCTTCATCTGAAGTACAATTGAAAAAAAACCAACAACTGTAATCTGGTGTCAGGGCCTTTCTGCATTCCGGAGGAGGGATGAGAATCCCGATCAGCACCAAGCTCGGTCCTCTGAGGTGAAAAGCCAGGCAAACCTCCACTCTCAAGGAAAAAAAATTAACAACTCTAAAGTAAAACATACGTGAAAAAAGGCACAACGACGTCTCCTCTGCCTAGCAGCAGGATTGTGTTGAGAATCAGATGGTGGTAGGTTCACTTTTTAAGCTGTTGAGAAGCACAGAAAGGAAACGTATCCTGAGCATAACTGTGACTATATCTAACACGTGCTATTAGTGGGCCTGACTCCATCTCTGAAGAGCGAGTTAGTTCAGCACCTCGGAGGCTGAGGGGACAGCAGAGCGGTTAAAGATTCATGCCAGGATCCCAGCAGAGGATGAGGCAATTTATTAAAATGTTTTGGTACCAAAATTAAATAGACCTTTATCTCCTTTATTAGGACGACAAACATTACTCTGATAACCTGACACTGTTTCATTTATTAAGTTATACTCATCAAGCCATGCATGAATAATAAAGTAGGGCAAAACCAAAAACCAATAAACCCACTGCTGTCAGTCAGTTCCGACTCACAGCGAGCGACTCCACAGGACAGAGCAGAACTGCCCCACAGGGTTTCCAAGGCGCAGCTGGTAGAGTCGAACTGCTGAACTTTTGGTTAGCAGCTGATCTCTTAACCACTGTGCCACTAGGGCTCTAAGATACGACAACTACTTATAAAATATAAAACTAAACAACGGTCACATAAAGGACAGGATGCTCGTCGATCAAGTCATCAATAAATGTAAACCTTCCACATTTACCTCATTGGCTCTTTTGATTATTTTATCATCCACATCTGTGACTCCCATCACCATGACGACGTTGCAGCCAAACACCTTGGTCAGGATCCTTCGAATTATATCAAATCTAACATATGAGCTGAAATAAAAAAAAAATGTTAAGAAGTCTTTAATACAAAAAGACATCACCGTGATCTTTAAAAGAAACGCATTATACTTACAGTGCTTCTATAGAACTAAAGCACTATCCTATAATTGATGGTTCAAGTGAAATTAGTAAATGGAAAAGCCGTTTTACCGACTGGTCCACCATGTTCTGGCCCCATACAAATCATCACAAGCAACTGACAAAGGTGTTGCTTCAACCACAGGACCCAAATTTAGGAGTTTTATTTTAGCTTATGTTAAGTGAGTTTGTTGCTATCAGCTGGCATTTACTAGGCTCCGACTCATGGCAACTCCACACACAATGGAACAAATTGCTGCCCAGCCGCGCACCATTCCCATGCACAGCTGCGGACTACACAGCTGTGATCCACTGTGTTCTCGCTGGCTGATTTTCAGACGCAGATCGCCAGGCCTTTCTTCCTAGTCCACCTTAGTCTGGAAGGTCCACTGAAACCTCTTCAGCATCACCATAACATGCAGACTTCCACCGACAGATGGCTGGTGGCTACTCACGAGGCGCGTTGGCCAGGAATGGAACCTGGGTCTCCCGCATGGAAGGTGAGAATTGTACTACTGAACCACCATTGCCCCGAGTGAGTCTGCACCTATTTAACTGTATAAAAATGTGCTCATCACACAATCGCATTAGGTAATTAAAATACTCAGAGGTTTTCCCATCCTTGTTCATGTTCTAGAATAATTCTAATTTTTCACTATGACAAAACCAAGCAAATAATAATAACTCAAGGCAAGTACAATCCTGTTAAAGCTATATAAGATTATTCCTAAGAAATGTGTACACTATTGTGGAACACTGAACCAGCTTCTTTAGATACTACATTGGGTTAATTCGGACTTTTAAAACCCAAAGGGGGAGTATCTAAAATCCATCAAAAATCTCAAGAACCTGGTTTCCCATTAAACCACCTTAAAACTCAAGGACAGCTAATTTTACGCTCATCTCCATCAGCTATGCGGCTTCTCTAAACGTGAGTTCATAAAGTCTTTTTCCTTAAAACAAACAAACAAACAAAAAAACCCAGACATATTACTACATATTATTACTTTACCCTGTCACACTCATCCAACCTTTCCCCGCAAACAAAGCTGAGTCTAAATTTCAATTCTAGTGACAAAACTATCCCCAAAACTCTTTGACATGATATTTAATCTCTTGAAACCTCAGTCTGCCTGCCTATACACTGGGCAAAATTCTACCAACCCATGAGATTGTTGTCCAGGCTGAATACAATAATCTTAGTGCCCATGATTTGTATAGTGGTATCCTTACCGGTCACACAGAAGACCAGGGTTTGATTCCCCAATACAGAGTCACTAACCCCATCCGTCAGTTTGTCATGCCCTGGTGGCTTGAGTGTTGCTGTGATGCTGGAAACTATGCTACCCGCGTTTCAAATACCAACAGGGTCACCCATGGTGGACAGGTTTCATCGGAGTTTCCAGACCAAGAGAAATTATGAAGAAAGGCCTGGTGATCTATTTCTGAAAATTAGCCAATGAAAACCACGTGAATCCCAGAATCTTGTCCTAGACTTGGACTCGCTTACTTTGGACACATCATCAGGAGGGATGGATCGCTGGAGAAGGACATCACGCTCGGTCAAGCGGAGGGCCAGCGAAGGTGAGGGAAACCTCGGGAAGATGAGCCGGCACGACGGCTGCAACAAAGGACTTAGACCAGCGATCACGACGACGCAGCAGGAACGCGCAACACTTCATCTATTGCACACGGGGGCGCCCTAAGTCGAAGCCTAACCACCAACAACAGTGTCCGCAAGCACCAACTGCAGCCAACGGAAGCCCGTATTTCTGTTACCATCACCAGGACATTCGCTGGTCTTGAGGAGGCAAAGGCGTTACAAGAAATGAGATTGAAAAGAAAAGATGAATGGCAACCCAAATCAAAGTGAAAATGAGAGTAAAACCACATCCTGGGCCAAGAAGGGCTCAAACTGAAGTCCCAGGGCTTCCGCCGGAAACGTCACAGACGGTCGCTGTCCTGGCTGAGCTTTCAGGGCGCTGCAAGGTCAGAGTGAGCTGAATCCCGGAGATGCTGCAGGTGCTGCCCCGCGGGGCCACGCCCACACACACCTACACCTGCAGGTGCTGGACGGCCAGAGACGGGAGGCAAAAGAACTGGCATCGGGACTGGGGAGACCTCGGACCCCTTCTGAAGCTCTGCAGTGAACTGTCGGCCAGGTCACTTTACCGCGGAAGATCCTGGCTTTCCCAGTCAATCAAATGAAGATGTGCATCTAGATGATGCCAAGATGATTCCCAGCACTGAGGGGTTCTACGTAAAACTCTCCAACGCTGCTACTCCACCTACGATGCGAAAAGATCCAACTCTCCAGGCCACATGATGAACATCCTTCCCAATCTGGCCCCAACCAACCCCTCGTATCTCTCTTCCCCAATCCTTCCCTATGTGAACCAAGCTGGCCTATTTGTTTTCTTCCAAACAAGATTTGCACCCTTCTGCCCAACTCCTTCCTGGAAACTGTGAAAGTCGTTTTCCAAAATCTGTCTCTTTGTACTTAACTGAGCCCTATCCATCCTTCAAAGGAGCCCTGGCGATGCAATGGTTAAGCACTCAACTGCTGACCAAAAGGTCTGTGGTTCGAACCCACCCGCCACTCTGCAGGATGAAGACCTGGCAATCCCGTAAAGATTAAAGCCTAATGAAGCCTATGGGGCAGCCCTACTCTGTCCTATAGGGTCGCTGTGAGTCAGAATTGACGCAATGGCTACAACAACATCCATCCTTCAAGTGTTAGCTCAAATTCTGCCCTTACATACCACATACTGTGCTAATCCCAGCCCTCTTGGAGCAGAACTACAACCTTGGAAAGGATTGTGAAGGGGCGACAAAATAAGAGAGTAAGGGGGTGGGGGAGTCCAGGGCAAGTTAGTGGCAGTCTTGCTACGACCTGAGTAACTGTTAGCCAGACAGACAGCCAGGGGAGGTTAAGGTCCCAGGTCAGGAAGAACACTTAGAAAGCCCTGCCCAGGACAGAGCTTAGCCACGTGCTGAGCAGCGCAGCACCGGGGGTAAGAACATGGGCTCTGGAGCCTGATGGCCTTATTAGCTGTGGGACCCTGGACAAATTCCACAACCCCTCTGCACTGCCACAGACTATATAACAATAGCACCCACCACCTGGTGTTAAGAGGATTCAGTTGGTTGACATTTGTAACACATTTAGAATACTGCCTGGCACTCAGTAAGTGCTATATGTGCATTTGTTAAATATGTGAGTCTGTTTAAGGCCAGAGTGGCTAAATGGGGAGGAAGGTGATGAGAGATGAATCTGGAATGGGTAAGTACGAACCACAGATACATATGGCCTACAGACATCATTAAGAACTCTGAACTGTCCCTTACTAGCTGCGGTGAAATGAGTTCCTTTCTGTGGCCGTTTGCCTTCTTTGGAAAAACAGCTTCAAAGATTTTCCCCTAAGCCCTGAGGAGTTACCTTCGCCCTAGTTTTCTACCCCAGAAGGTCTGTTACTTTTATCCAGATTGACTGACATTTCCTGAACAAGCTGTAAACAACCTGACTTTTGTCTGGTGCTGGGCTCAGCCTGCCCTGTGATTGGTATGCACCCTGCAGGGATTGGTCAACAGACTATACAAATGAGGCGACTACAACCTACAATGCAGATTAGGTGCCTGTGGCCTACTGAGAGGGGACTGGTCAGTTTGTGCCCCCACCCACTAGGAGGGACCATGTCTTGAAATTAACCAGGAGATAGGTATATAGCACCCAACCCCACAGAGATTTTTCAGGGAGAAAGAAGCAGGAAAAGCAGCAGAAGGAAGAAAGCAGGGAGAAGCGGCAGAGAGAGAGAGGAGGCAAGGAATCTCCTAAAAGAGCTGTAACACAGGTCAAGGGCTGTAACACTGAAGACAGGGAGAAGCCCAGAAGGGGCCCAGTGGTAGAGCCGGCAGCAACAGGCCTGGAAGGGGCCCTGCCGCAAAGTCGGTGGTGACAGACAGCAGGGTCAAGAGGAGGCCTGTCCTCAGGGGGCTGAGAGGAGGCCTGCGTGGCCAAGAGGAGCAAAGAGAGCTGTCCTGCACTGGAGAAGGGAAGAATGTGTTTTCCTCTTCAGGGAAGCCTTGCAGACTTTGCCTGCAGGCTTCCTGACCTTGAGCTGTACCCTGTTCCTTCTTTAATAAATCACTTAACTGCAAGTATGGTCTGTGAGTTCTGCATGGCCACTGCAACATATTATGGAACCCAGAAGAGAAGTAGAAGTGCCATGGGGAGGACAGCTGGTGTCAGAACTGGTAAAAAGGTTGGAGAGTGGAGGTATGTCTGACCTCCACCTCACAGGGCTGAGCCTTGGGCTGATCCTCATTCACATCATCCTCCCTGAAGTCAGACAGATTCTGACGATGCTACTACTACTACCGCTCGATTTTCACACTAGTTTTGGAGCCTTGGATCTTCTGCAAGGCATCTGCCTGACCATCCCTGCCCCCAAAACCTCCCCTTCTTCAGAAATCTTACAGTATTTATGTTTTCTACCTCTTAGGGACATCTTTAATTGACTGGCTCTTCTTGATGAATACATTCTATCTTATTCTCTAGACTGAATCATCAACCATATAAACATGCTTATTCAATAGTGGTTACCCTTGAGTGGAAGGTAGGCAAAGATGGTGATGAAAGGGGACCCAAAGGAAAATTGTGCGGCATGGGTAACGTTGTTTCTTGACCTAAGTGCCACGAACATTCATTCAGCTGTAGGCTGATTGTACTCTTTTCTGTATTTATACTTCAATAAATAGGATAAAAATAAGCTGTGTAAAATTAACAGTAAATTAACCCAAACCAGTTGCTGTCGAGTTGATTCCAAACTCATAGCGACCCTACGGGACAGAGTAGAACTGCCCCATAGGGTTTCCAAGGAGAGGCGGGTGGATTCGAACTGCCAACCTTTTTGTTACCAGCCGTAGCACTTAACCACTGCACCAGCAGGGCTCCAAAAGTTAACCCAAGTGAAGGAGAAAAAAATGACTCCTACATCATTTACGTTGTTATAAAAAACAAAAAAAAGTTTAGCTCCTGCTGGGTGATAAAAATAATTTTTAAGAAATTATATTGAATAAATGAATGAAAGGCCATTTTACTTTTAGTCTGAGTTGAATAGTAACAAATAAAAAAAAACGCACAAAAGAATTCACGAAATATCAGGAAAGGTGGTCATCTTGACCAATGAGGAGGAAGGAGTATACCTTACATGTAAGAGTCAAGATAACGAGTATTTGGGAGCCAGATAAACCTGGGTTCCAACACTTCCTAAATGTGTGGCCTTGGTTAAGTCACTTATACTCTAATGACAGTCGCAACTAGTAATTATTGAGCCCTTATAACAAGTCACACATCAGGTACTGGATTAAGCAACACTTTATTGACATTATCTCATAAGATTGTTGGGAAGAGTCAAAAAGATGGCCACTATTATCATTCCCATCTCAAAGATGAAGAAAGCAGCTCTCAAAGCAATAAAGCACATACTTCATACAAGTGGATCATTCCCGCTTATATGAAATATCTGGAATAGACCAACACAGATACCAAAGTTTATTAGCGGTTACCAAGGGTGGGTGTGAGTGGGGAAGGGACAGTTCTGGCTTAAGGGGACGGAGTTTCTGTGAAGGGTGAGAAAAAACTTGGAAACAGATAGTGGTGATGGTTTCACAACATAGAGAACGTAATTAATGTCGCCGAGTTATGTACACAAAAATGGTTCAAATGGGAAATTCTCTGTTATACACATTTTACCACAATAACCTCTGCTCCCCAAAAATAAACGATAAAGTGTTTGTCCAAGGTTTGGAGGCTAACAAATGGTGGAGCCAGAAATGCCTCCTAACCAGACAAACTCCAGAGCTCCATGAAAGGGATCCCTATCTCAGGAAATCAACCAAAAAACGTCTAATTCCGAAACAGGTTATTTCTTCCTGCTCCACATTGCTTCCCTGAATTTCCTCACCTATAAAACGAGCACCAACGTTGAGACCCGGTACAAGAACCAAAGGAGACTTATAACAAGTACTTCCCACAACGCCTGTAACACGGTAATTACGCAAAAATTTTAAACTGCCACTTGAGAGATGAGGAAACTTGCCAGAAGCCAATTCTTTAACGAACAAACGGTCCTCCGAAGAGTGAAAATTCAAATGCAGGAAACTCACCAAGCGTGGCCAAGGTGTGCATGATCGTACACAGTGGGTCCACAACTATACCTGGGAACAAAGTTAAAATCCATCAGGTGAATGATCTGCAAGAGCGAACACTCCATTCCCAGTTTCGATGACCATATAATCATCTCGCTTTTTTTTTTTTTTTTAAAGTGACCGCTTTTGGGGAATGCGACTCTGAGCTCTACTGCTTTCATGAATTCCTAGATTGACCGTGAACATACCCCACTGTCTACAATGGGGTGCTCCAGTGGGTTTTATAAATGCTCGCCATCTAAGAATTCGAACCCACTTTGCACTGCAGAAAGTCCACGCCACCCAAAATGTTAAACTGCAGCTCCTTCCCCTCCCCGGCGCCCCCACGACGCCGCCTGGCCCCCCCAAGGATGTCCCCACCCCACGAGGGTGTCACACGCTACCAGGAGGCGGCTTCCGCGTTGGCCACGATTAACGGGTCTTTCCTCCGCGTGAGGCTGTTGTAAACCTGGACGCCCGTGTCGTGGCCCGTGGGCTGCAGCCATCCTCTTCCGCGTCCCCCCGACACAGGTCGGCCCGTGGGCCGCCCCCGCTCTCCCCGCCCGAGGCCCAGCGCAGGAGGGAAGAGCCGGCGGCAGAGGCGGCCGAGCAGCAGCCCGTGGTCGGTGGGCGGCAGGCGAGGCCCGCGCGTCCGCAGCATGATCCGCGGGCCTGGGCGCGCTCCAGGACCACGCGCACCGCCCCGGCGCAGACGCGATGACGCCGCCCCGGCGGCCACGCCCCCATCCCGCCCACTTCCGGAAGGGGCCGCCGGAAGTGGCCCTCTGGGAGCTCTGCAGCCTTGCGCGTCCCTCGGGTATGGGAGGGCGGTGCGGCCCGAGCCAGGAGGGAAAAGTCCAGCCGCGGTTACCGCGGGAGGGACGCCGGGACTCGCGCCACTCCGCCCGGAGGCTGCAGGAAGAGGCGGGATTCGCGGCGGGAGCGCGCTTGCGTCTCCATAGCAAGTCGCTTTCTCCTAATAAGCGCATGTCGGTGCTGGGCGTCTGTTGGACGTTGTGCGAACTGGAGTCCAGGTCCCCCCTCTGGCTGGACCGGGAGGCAAGCGGCTGCTGCGAGGTTGGCGTTGCCCGTGTTGCCCCAGTCTGGAAGAGATTCTGTAGTGCTGGGCACCCCCCGCCTCGCCGCCGCAGCCCGTAAGACCTAGTTAAGCACATTTGCGGCCCCAACATACACACACCCTACTCCTTCCTGCAGTCTCGGGGTGAAAGACCAAAGATCATGAACTACCTTCGTCATACACGTGTAGTAGGGAATTGACGCTTTATTTAAGGTTAAAAGTCCTGCCATTCCATCAGAACGACAAGAAAATTCTGAATTGCGGTTTAAATGGGCCTTTGGAGTAGGCAGATTGACTTTTAGTTACTTGCAAATTATGTCAACAAACGTGCCCCTACGTTTCTCTCCACGGGTGCCTAGCAAAAGTCTCTGAAAAAAAAATCCTCCTTGCTTTTGCAGCCTTCAAAATAACAGATTCCTCAGTTCTGTTTGTTTTTGAGTTTGTTTTGGGGCGTCCCATTGAAAGGCAAATGCTAAAGTAAAAACAAGTACATCCGTAGAGTACAAAACCTCAACCCGTTGCCGCGGAATCAATTCCGACTCATAGCGACCCTACAGAACAGAACTGCACCGTAGGGTTCCCAAGGCTTTCTGGAAGCGGACTGCAACATCTTTTTCCAGTGGAGGGGCTGCTGGGTTCCAACTGCCATTTGGTAAACGAACGCTTAACCATTGATCCAACAGGGCTCCTTATTCCTAAGGTACCCTCCTACAAAAAAAAAAAAAAAATTTTTTTTCAAGATCCCTGGAGCCTAACTTTGCAATTGTTTCAAGTTATAGTCCAGTGTAAACTGTAGTCTAATGTTAAATGCTAAGATGTCAGAAAACCCCTTTTTCAGAATTAGGAGACCCCGACATTAATGCCAACTACGTGCTCCCTGATTTTTCCAAATTCTATTCCAATATTATCACTTCCTCATTGCCTGGGCAGTACTGTACTTACTTCATATTATTCTGCAATTGTCCCTTGCTTCTAGTAAGGCTCAGTGATTAAGAGCTTGGCTGCTAACCAAAAGGTTAGAATCCACAAGCCACTCCTTGGAAACCGTCTGGGGCAGTTATACTCTGTCCTGTAGGGTCGCTATCAGTTGGAATTGACTCCACGACAATGGGTTTGGTTTTTTTGGTTCTAGTATAATGTTTTTCTCCCTGACAGAGTACTTTAGATTGTAAATTCTTCTTTTGAACTCCCCCATGGTACCCAGCACTAAATTCAGAAGAAGGTTTGTTGGTTGTTGTCGAATTAATCTCTCATGGAATCCACCTGTTGGACAGGTGGGAGGAAATGTGGTCAGTCCAATATCTTGATAGGGAAAGCTCTTACCACATGTTGGGTGTGCCGATAGAATGAACAAAGCTTGACTGCCGTCTGTGATACTGCGAGCAGTGCAAGGAAAGAGCGAGAAGATACGTTTTGAAAACAGATGTAGTAACACTGAAGACCAAATCCTGCACATAAATCTGGGTACTTGGCATATTTGAATTGGCCGTAGAAAATCATGACTTTTAAATTAACAACGGCATCTTTTGTCTTCAGTACTCACGTAATCAGTGTTCAGCCTGGACAGGGAGCAATTCTACCCTTCCTTGCGAGCTTTGGGGAATATTCAAAACACTGATACATGTAACGCATTTTTTAATGATGGTTAAAAATTACTCATTTTACAGGTGGAATATGAAGGTAAAGTAAAAAGCCACTGGAAAGATTTGTTAGCATATATGACCAAGAAAGAGAATCTTGTTAATCTGAACGGACCCAGTCCCCAGTCTAACACAAACTGAGGAAGTGTGTGAAAAGTTCTTGTTGTTGTTGCTGTGGAGTCAGTTCCCCATCATGGCGACCCCATGGCTGCAGAGTAGAACTGCTCCATAGGGTTTCCCAGGCTGTGACCTTTCCGAAGCAGATCACCAGACCTTCTTCTGAGGCGCCTCTAGTGGCACTCTGACAACCTCACTTAGTAGTTGAGCACTTAACCGTTTGCGTCACCCCCAATGGATGAAAATTAATGGTTCCAAAATAGCACGAATGCCGTTTATTAGTCCTTAACTACAACAACGAAAATGTAGTTCTAAGTGTTACGTTTTCTTTTCAAGGCAAAAATTTGTAAGTCCAACGCAGAGTATGTATGGCAGCGTATTGTTTAGGGCATTTAAAGTTTGAGATGAATGTGTTGGCATTTATTTTTGTATTATATATTTATCTCTTTTATCTTTTACTCCCATGGGTTTGAAAGCATCTCCGGTTAAACTAGAAATATAATTTTAGAAGTTTTAACATCTAGTTTTGTAACACAGCCCAAAGAGCAAAACTCAACCCAGATTCTCTAATGTATCTTCAAATTAAGCACTTTTCCTAAGTGGCATATTTAAAAATGCATGATCACAGCTAATTGTGTTTTATCTCTTGGTCTTGTAACCTTATTCAGAAAACTGTGGAGTCATTGGTATACATATATTATTAAAAACCTGGTAAATCCATTAAATACGTTCTGATTTTTTATCCCAAGGAGTGGGTTAAATGTTTTCTAGAATGTAAGCTCCTTATTTACCACTGTATCCCAAGTTTATAGAACAGTAGCTGGCACAGGTTAGGCACTCATTAAACATTTCTTGTTGTATGAATAAGATGCCGTTTGATTTATGTGTCTGTGAAGTCCATGAATATGTGAGGAATGAACTGGTTATTCAAATAGTATGATTTTTAAAAAAGATACCCTAGGTCAAACTACAGCTTGATTATGTTTGGAAGGGGTAAATTATTCTTTCTAACCTTTATTCTTGTATTCAAATCAGCACTACTCATTCTAGAGCCAATGAATGTGAGGATTAAAAGAAGGTCTCATTCTTGTCATTGTACTTTTAAATTGCTTGTATGCTCTTGAATAAAGGGCACTTTTTTTTTTAATTCAACCTTATATCCCTCTAGAGCCCTGGTGGCGCTGTGGCTAAGAGCTCGGCTGCTACTCAAAATGTTGGCAGTTCAAATCCACCAGCCGCTCTTTGGAAACCCTCTGGGGCAGCTCCTGTGAGCCGGAATCCCTCTACACTCGTCTTATCTGTTTCCACATGTCAGAGTATCGGCTTTTGTTCAGAGTAGTGAGTGGCAACAAATATTTGCTTATGAAATTTCTAACTTTCCTCGTTTGCTTTTAATGGGCCAAGACTGGAAGAAGTGTAAATCTATAAGGAAAATAACCATTTTCTCAAGTATCAAAGTGAACTTTCTCCTGATGTGGGGATAGGATGAGTGGGTTTACGAGTAAAGATCAAATACACTATTTCAAAGTGTAAATAGTCGTTATCATTTATCACTGCAGCAACATTCCAACGTGAACAATTCATTTTGAAATACAATGCTGAATTTGGTCTCATTTGCTGTACTGACATCCATATCACAAAACAGAGATCATTGGAATGAGCACCACTGTGATTAATAATCTATTTTATAAATTTAGGATTAGCCCAGCATTGTACTGAATTACACGTAAAACCGTTGCCGACAAGTCGATTCTGACTCATAGCAACCCTATAGGACAGAGTAGAACTGCACCATAGCGTTTCCAAGGACCCCCTGGTGGATTCGAACTGCGGACCTTTTGGTTGTTAACCTCTGCGCCGCCAGGGTTTCTGAATTACACACAGTACTTAAAAAAAAAAAATGGTCTTACGTGTCTCAACATTGTTTCGTGAAACATTCCAAATCTTAAACACCAGAATGTGTGCCCATTTAAACCGCACTGTAATTATTTTTTTATGACTAAAGCGGTGTCTCCTGTGTTGCAAAAAGATAAACCGAGAGATACAAGCTGACACGGACAGTGTCAAAACTCAGAGGATAAGAAAAATGGAGAACCGCCCTGACATTGAGTTGACACAGAGACATTAAAAGGGCCGGAGGTTGAATTTGGTTAACAGAACACAACACATACAGCATCATTGACGGGGATCTCCAAAAATAAAAATAAAATCTGGTAGGAAGGGTTAAAGAACTGACAAGGCAGCTCTTTCCACCTTAAAGTATAAAAGAGGATGCAAGTATCAAAACAGGAGAGTCCAACCAGGGAAACAGAGACGGCCACGCGAGGTGGTGCAGCTCCCGGGAACCCCGCACAGGAACCCCGCGAGGTGCGGAGAGGTGCAGCTCCGGGCTTCCTTCCGCACCGTGGCTCGGGGGGCGAGTCCCCCACTCCATCCAGACCGCAGCGGCTGGGGAGCAACAGAAACAAAAGCAAGAGTTCCCGGCCGCAGCGGGAGGGGCGGGCGCCAGGACGTGGGCGGAGTCTCCGCGACCGGAAGAGGCGGGGCCCGACGCGCGCTCCAGGCCCTGTTGTCTAGGCAACAGGCTTCCTCTGCGCTGGAGCTTTTCAGAAAGCCCTAAATCCGGGAGTTCAGGGTGGGGAGCGAAGGCGTGGGGGGAGGGGAGAGAGAGGCTAAGGCGAGAACTCCGAAAGCCAAAGGGCCCCAGGACTCCGGTGGACTGGGTGCTCGCCCGCCTTGTTTTCAGTGGTCTTTTGACCTGGGTGAAGCGGATTTCATGGCTGAGAAGGGCAAAGAGGATAGATATCTAGAGACGAGCTGGGAATGAAGTGGATAATCCAAAAAGAATGGGGGAAGGACTCTCTCGGCCTGCCCGCTCTCCGCGGGGGCTCCGGGCACTGGGGAGCAGCTACGTTCTTAAGCCCCTTTGTCTCCAAGCCGTCCAAACTGAACTCCAGGAGGAGACACAAAGGGAGGGCGGTGACTAACGGCGCAGGCGCAGGAGCTGTCGAGGCTGCTGGGAGTGGTGGTCCAGCCCTGGAAGGGTAGGTAGACTCCCGCGCGGGGCAGCGGCCTCCCCATTTTGAGAATGCCTGAGGTAGACGTGCGCATGCGCCACCACTTCCGCTCTTCTCTGGACCCGCCCCCTCCCTCTCTCGCAATCCCCAAACCTCCGCCCTCGGGAGGACGTGGTTTTCTAGTAGTAAGAGTCGGAGAGGAATCATCACTGTTGGTCCCACCTCCTCCTTGTTCTGATTGGGCAGCGGAGGCAAGGCGGCGAGCGGATTGGCCCTTGCAGCTGCCATCTCTGTTCCCTGCCGTACTTAAACACTGCTGCAGGTCGGGGGAAGGGGAGGATGAGGGGATGTGGAGGTTGGGGTAGCGGTTTGTGCGTCCAATCGTCTCGGCGGCTGCGGCGGTTCTGCCCACCCTTCGGGTTCAGTTGGGTCTGCAGTGGAAGGGACCGCCACTCTGGTGTCTCCCGGCGGGCGCTCAGCGCTGTGGAGCAGGCTTCGCCATGAAGTGCGAAACTCTAGTAAAGTTTGCGCCTCACCCCGCCCGCCCCCTGGCCCCAGGCGTCCTAGCCGCTGCCCTCCCCGCGGCCTTTCAGACCCCAAAGAAAATGACAGGCACAATCCGACTCCCGATGCGCCCCCCCGGCTAAGGCCAAGCACCCCACGCGACCCCCGCCGCCCTCGCACCCCGAGGCCGGTGAGGGGCGTGAGTGCGGGGGGAGAGGCGGAGTCCCGCGGGGGGAGGGGAGAGCAGCGGGGCGGGGGGAGGGAGCAAGAGCGGGGCGCATGCGCAGTGCGTGGCGGGGCTGAATGTTTCCCAAGTGTTTGAAACTGGTATTTGGGTTTTCCACGTTGGATAAGTAGCGCGCACCGAGCGGCGGGGAGCTAGCGCCCCTTCTCCGCTCCTTCCTCTTTCTCCTCTCCGCCCCGGAGCTGGGGCCGCAGCGGGAAGGCAGGCGCGCGCGCGGCCCCGAACAAGACAACTCGGCTGCGGCTGCGACTCGGGCTCCTTTTCTCCTCCCTCCTGGGTGTGTGCGCGCTTCGTACGCTCCTCTCCCCCCGCGCCCGCCTCCCCTCCGTCGGCGGGGAGGGGGCCTGTGCGGTCGCCTCCATCCCTCCCCGCCTCCCGGCTGCTCGCTCTACCCCGCCGCCTCGCACGGCCGCTCGGCGCGAGTTACCGGAGCGACCGGCGATCGCCGCCGCCGAGCGGGCGGCCGGGGAGGCGGCTCCTCCGCGCCCCGCTCGGCCGAAGGCAGAGGCGAGCGGAGTAGTAGCGGCAGATGTAGCTTTCCTGGGGGCTTGAGAGCCGGCGCCGGCTGGAGAGAGGGAGCCCGGGCAGGGCGAGGGAAAGAGCTTTGCATTTTGCAGTGCTATTTTTTTTTTTTGGGAGGGGGGCGGGAGATGAAGGAAGCGGAAAGCGTGCAGAGTCGCCGGGGACCTTTCGGGTGAACCATGTTGAGTCCTGCAAACGGGGAGCAAATTCACCTGGTGAACTATGTGGAGGATTATTTGGACTCCATCGAGTCTTTGCCTTTCGATCTACAGAGAAACGTCTCGTTGATGAGGGAAATAGACGCGAAATATCAAGGTAAGGGCCCGAGAGGATGGATAGGGTGGCTGGTTGGATCCCCTGTCTTTTATTCCTCGCTAATCTGGTGTGTGTGCGTGTGTGTGTGTAAATGTGTAAAGCTCGTGTCTCCTTTCTGCTCTCCTACCCTCCTCCTCTCGCTCGTCGGCAAGGGTAGTTTTATTTTCATTGGGAGCTGGCGGAGGCAGAGGGAGCAAGTAATGTTATTGAACTGGAGAAAGGAGCACGGAGGATCCGCAGCGGTGGCTCCTGTCGTGGGGAGGAACAAAAGGTCTTCAGCTTCTTTTATTCACTAAGGTCCTTCTTTGTAAAACACGGGGCACGAAAGGAGGAGGAGGAAGGAAAGGTCTTAATTTAAAGCTGTGCTACAAAAGCAGCTCTTTGTAGTGAAGTGATGAGGTGGTGGTGTGTTGCAGAGGGCCGGGGGGAGGGGAAGGCAGGGGGTTAATCTGTGTCTTTTAGAAAGGGGTGGCAAAGGGGGAAGTGCGGGGTGGACACAGATTACAGCACAACATTGAGGAATGTACGGTGCTCATTATGGCTGTGGGAGCAGCAGAGACCGTGGCTGATAGTAGAAGCTGTTAGCGGAGAGGTGGATGCTAGCAAGGTTGTTCGGACTACGTCGGTCCTGAGAAATGCCTCTCCTCCAGCCCCCTCCTCTCCGTCCTCCAAAGCCACCGGCCCACCCTCAGTCTATAAATCCAAGTGTTACGTAAAGTACAGGGGTAGCTACTCTGGTCGGTGTAGCCTCCGTTCTCGGCCCCCCTCCTAACCCCCCCCCCCAGCCTCTTTCTGGCCCTTCTTTATTGCTGGACACTTGGAAGACCGATGTGCAAAGGAGAGACGCTGCTGGGTGTAGTTTGCTAGGGATGAGGGCTTTATTCAGTGTGTGTTTGCAATGGGGGAGGGAAGGGGGTGGAGTGAAGCCGAGGAAATTGGCGATCTGTGTTGTGCTCGGGGAGAAGCGGGGGAAAGATTGTCGGGATGAAGGAATATGGCAGGTGAGAGAAACCGTGGGTCGTTGTCTGCAGACCTGCCCGCGGGGAGAGTGTCAGGGAGGAGGTGGAGGGTTAATGTCCGCTGGGAATTGTTAGCTGTTGGGGAAACTTTTCTCCGAGGTCAGGCAAAACAAGAGAGGTTCCGTTTTGAACGTGTATCGTCGCTCTGAGTTTACTAATGTTCATAGGGCTGTGCAGCAGGGAGGCAGAAAGAGGGGCGGGGGAGAGGCGGAAACTGAACGCTGCCCCAAAACACATAGAATCCCCTACTTTGGAAGGCGCCCCTGCGCGCTCTGCCGGAGAGGCGGTTTCGCAGCGTTTTTTATGAGGGGTTCATTAGCATATTGCAGAACGTCCCCGCCTCGGCCACGTTGTGATTGGTCCTGACGTTCACCACGGAATGTCCTTCCACTTCACTGCGGCGCGATTGGCCTCCGGACCGGAGGGGGGCGGGCCGTGCGCAGTGACGAGCACCGGTCTCAGTTTCCGCTGCTTGCGTTTTTCGCTCGGGGAGAGGAGGAAGCGGGGAGAAGCCAGGTCGCGTTGATTTGAATGTATTCTGGTCGACCGGCCTCCAGCCTCGGATTGGCACTCAGCGCCCCCGGGGAGGGCCGTGCTCTGGGCCCTGGACTGTGATTGGAGCCTCGCCTGAACCGGGCCGGTACCGAGGCCCCCGCCCTCCCTTCTGGCGATTCCCATAGGCAGCCGCTCCCGGGGCGGGGCGCCCCGCGCCTGGCCCGCTCCCAATTGGCGAGTGGCTCCTCCTCAGAGAGGCCGGGTGCGCGGCTACTTCCGGTCGCGGAACAATGGCAGCGGGCCCGAACGGCCGGCCGAGCCGTTGGCCTCGGCGGCGGGCCGGAGCGCCCCCAGCGTCCGGTCCTCTCCGCCCCGGGCCGAGCGCTGGCGGCGCGGGGCGGCCGGGCTTCTCCTGGGCCGCCGGGTCGTCGGGCTCCGGCGTCTCGGCCTCGGGGAACTGTGAGTGACCACGCGACCTTGGGGCTTCTTGCCCCTGCCCACCGGTCTCCGTCGCCGCGGGTTTAGGGCCTTGAGTCTTTTCTGGTGGGCCCCACCTTCCCGCACCTGAAGTGAGTGAGGGACACCTGGGACGCCTCGTCCCTGAGATGCCTTCCATCTCCCGGGCCCCTCACACGGGTTCTGTGGGACTCGTTAACAAAGGGGGGTGAAATGGGGCCACCACGAGGCGGAATGACTCGCCGGTCTTGGGTTCGGTTTTTGAGGACCAGGGAAGATTTTAATAGTTTTACGATTTAAAAAACGGGGGGGAGGTGGATGGGAATTTTTTTTACAGTCTTTATGCATACGCGTCTGGAATTAGTCTTTCTCTAGCACTGTTCATTAGTACTTAGAGGGGTTTCGAAATGACAGTTTTATCTTTTTTTCCCTAACATCCAGGTCATTATTCCCCATAACCCCTTGCTGTGGAGTCTACTCCAACTCACAGCGACCCTGTAGGTCAGAGCAGAACTGCCCCGTTGGGTTTCGGAGGCTGTCATCTTTGCGAAGCCGACTGCCACGTCTTTCTCCCGCAGAGCGTCTCGTGGGTTCCAACCTCCGACCTTTCTAGCTGTGAGCGCTTAACCACCGCCCCACCAGGGCTCCTATACCCCATAAAGCTACTTTATTATTCCTTTCACTGCTATGAAGAAGTCTGTCTTGCTGCCTCAGAACCAAAAGCTTTTTCTATTAATACATGATGATGTACTTAACAAGGTTTAGGTGGAGAAAATCCCAATCTCATCACCATCCTCTACCCAGATGAATAGGAAATGCAATTGAGAGTGAACTGTGAAGTTTAAACATCCAGAAAGCAGAGAAAACGTGTTCATCGAGATAATAAGGATAACTTGTTTGGTTGGTACTTAACTGTCAATGTTGAGATGTGCACTATAACCAAAAAACCCCCCAAGCTATTGTCCTCGAGTGGCTTCTGACTCAGAGTGACGCTAGAGGACAGTAGAACTGACCCAGAGGGTTTCCAAGGCTGTAAATCGTTATGGAAGCAGACTGCTGCATCTTTCTCCTGCAGAGTGGTGCTGGTGGGTTCAAACCACAGACCTTTCAGTTGGCAGCAGAGCGCTTTAACCTCTGTGCCACCAGGGCTCCTAGATGCAGTACAGTTCTAAAAAATTTAGCTTTTATTTTTAAAGAACTAATGTGTTGCTAGTCAAACTGGGTTAACAGTCTTTTGTTTAGTACATGTTGTTAAGTGCCCTCAAGTCGATTCTGACCCATAGTGACCCCATGTGACCAAGGAGGACTGCCCCACAGGGCTTTCTAGACTGTAATTTTTACCGGTTCTGAATCTGCTGGGTGAACTCAAACCACTGACCTTTTGGTTAGCAGCTGGGCTTTTAGCCATTGCACCACTAGGAGTCCTTGCTTGGTATGTGTTGTATTAGTTGGCAGTTAACCCATAAGAATGGGTTATAATTAGTTTGCCAATTGTAAATTATGTTTGAGGTTGCTTGGATGATTTTTCAAGTATTATAATAATGAAAATATTCCCTCACCCCCCAGGGAGTTCTGCTTCATAAAGAACTTCAGTGCAACCTTGTGTAAAATATATATTTAAAATAATAGGGCAGGTTAAATTATATTCTGCTGCAATTGCATTTAGTCTTTAGGATAATGCTGTGTAGGTCCTTTCCACAATACCATTGCATTCTTGGGTAATGTTGGTATGCATCGTTTTTAGAAAGGGGTTAACAGCAATTTGTCTGAAATTGCGCTGAAGAAGCAGAGTGTCGCAGGCAGGATGCACTTATTAGAGATGTCTGCCCTATTTCACATAGGTATTATTGTTTCTGTTTATAGATGTCTGTACTTATGTGGTTTTTGTTGATAGAATAATTTGCTTTGAGCACCTGAGAAATATATGTCATTGTGTAGGTACAGAACTACTTTTTGGTAATTTTTGATGAGATATTTGCTTCCTCCCCAAAAGTGAGGTTTCACATGGATGTAAGTTTGCTTGTGATGTAAAGAAACTGTATTTTAAAATTTAACTTAGCAATATGATAGAATCGGTCTCTTTTTCTGTGAAATGCTTACATTGTCTTTAGAAATTTGATACTGGTAAAACCAAACTATACCATTTGTAACTTGTAATTCATTTAAAAATAAATGGCACAAACTCATATTTTAACATCTGTGAAACGGAACTTGGATGAGTTGAGCACAGCTATTTATTTGCGGAGTTAATTACCCTGAGAGACTATGGCATCCCTCATTCTGTGACAGCCTACACTGTTCCTCTAGGAAGAATCTTCAGAGCTGTCTTGAGAATATAGGAATATAGCCTGGAAAATAGTGCTTTATCGTTTAGGTAAACTTACATGTTGGCCTGAGTTTATGTGTTTACTCTTCTGTACTTAAAACTACTTGGAGATAAAATTTGGAAAGAGTGGTGGTTACATTTATTATATACTCCCTCCCACCTCCTGCACCCACATGCTCCAGAAAAAGGGTTTCTGGAGAAAAATTTGATACTATTTCATTTAATGGTTACTATTTGGAAAAAAAGAATTCTGGAAATTTTTATGTGTGTGTTTAAATAGGCTTTTGGCCGTAATATTTACTTATTTCAACCAGATCATTTAACAACATTTATTTCTTGAGAAAATGCCTAATTACATTTTAGAATCACATACATGGTCTTCTCATCTGTCCAAGGTTTAAATGTCTGTTTTCGTAAGGAAGTAAGGCTTGGGGTTGGAGTAGGGGAGTTGGGACCACAGGTGGTCCATTTGAATTTCTGAGCTTGGGACAGATTATTCAGTCATACCCTCATCAGCTTGCTTGCTTTTTTCTCCTCTCTGTCAGCTGTATTACTGGTAGTACGGCTCTTCTGTGAGAGTAGTTTGTGTCTGTAGACTTTTCAGAGAGCCAGCAACCGAGCAGAGAGGAAAAGAGCACACACACACACACACACACACACACACACACACACACACACACACGAGTCTGATCTGCTTTCTGAAAATGCTTGAAATCTGTTTACATTATAGATGGGAAGATGTTATTGTTTAAAGCAGTATGTGCAAAAGTAGAGTTGAATCTGCCACCTTTATTTTAAAGCAAGGCTGGGTTGGTTTATTGTCTTGTTTTCAGTAATACAGAGAAATAAAATTCTAGAAGGAAAAAGAAGTTACTGGTAAACTGAGGCACTACGTCACTAAGTAGTCTAGATCCTAGCCTGCTAACACCCTTCTTTAAACCATAAAGGAGCATTGTGTAAATTTACATAAAATCTCTAATTTAATAGGCCTTAAAATTATTAGAAAAGTACTTTGAATGAAAAAGAAGGAAATATAGACCTACCATAATCCTTAATTTCATTTAAAAAAAAGTTTGAGCCTAAGCATTTTACCTACTTTGACAACCATGCTTCTGAACTATGCACAGAGTTTTTTTTTTTTCAACAGGAAAAAAATAAGTCTGCTGAAAAGGCCTGTAGACTGTAGGATTTTTAATACTGGGAAACCTGCATTGATCATTTCTGTCCTTTGCAATCACTTTTTTATAGAAGAGAGGATTAAATAAAAGGCTTATTTACTGAGCGTGGATTTCCTCAGAGATGTTTGTAGTACGGGTGTAATACTTAACATTTTTTTTCCTTTGCAGAAATCCTAAAGGAATTGGATGAGTACTATGAGAGGTTTAAGCGCGAGACGGACGGTACACAGAAGAGGAGAGTTTTACACTGCATCCAGAGAGCCCTGATTCGGAGCCAGGAGCTGGGCGATGAAAAGATTCAGATTGTGAGTCAGATGGTGGAGCTGGTTGAGAACCGGACAAGACAAGTGGACAGTCACGTGGAACTGTTTGAGGCGCATCAAGAGATCAGTGACGCCACTGGCAACAGCGGCAAAGCCAGCCAAGATAAATCAAAGAATGAGACAATCACGCAAGCAGAAAAGCCCAACAATAAGAGATCCCGCCGACAGCGCAACAATGAGAATCGGGAGAACGCGTCCAATAATCATGATCATGATGACATCACCTCGGGAACACCAAAGGAGAAGAAAGCAAAAACATCGAAGAAGAAGAAGCGCTCCAAGGCCAAAGCAGAGAGGGAGGCATCGCCTGCAGACCTTCCCATCGACCCGAACGAGCCGACGTACTGTCTGTGCAATCAGGTCTCCTATGGAGAAATGATAGGCTGTGACAACGATGAGTGCCCCATCGAGTGGTTTCATTTCTCCTGCGTGGGACTTAATCATAAACCAAAGGGCAAGTGGTACTGTCCCAAATGCAGAGGGGAAAACGAGAAAACAATGGACAAAGCACTAGAGAAATCCAAAAAAGAGAGAGCTTATACCAGGTAGTTTGTGGATGTTCACTTAACAGTGAGGAAGACAAGATGGACCAGTGTATTTATTACATTGCCACCTTTGTTGAGGTGTGAGGATTGTGAAATGTATATTTTTAAAGAAGGTTAGAAGAGGAACCATTCCTTTTATAGGGATGGCTGTGATTTTTTTCTTTTGTTTTCATTGGTATATACATGTGTAACAAGAAAGTGGTCTGTGGATCAACATTTTAGAAACTACAAATATAGGTTTGAATTAAACACTCAAGTGAGTCTCAGACTGATTTTTTTTTTTTTTTTTCTTTTTTGGTGACTTGGAAACAACCTAACACATTAAAATGTGGAAAGAAAATGTTCCATTTAGCTAATATTTTATTTTAATAAAAATAATGTTACTACTTTAGGAACAGTTTTTTGTTTTTGTTTTTTTTTTTAAGTAGCCAGGTTGTTAAAAATACAGTCCATAGCAAATTTGTTTCTTGCTACCATAATGTATATCCATCTAACAATTCAGTAACAAAGGTTTAAAGTTAGAAGATTATTTTTTAAAAAGGTAAATGATTAAATTTTACATGACAAATATTTTATATACTGGCCTGTTCCCCAATCGGCCATTTTTAAATGATTGAGTACATTTTATATTAAAGTGGTCTAGTCATGGGACTTGAAATCACGCTTTTGCTATCACAAGTCATGGTGTAGCCGTCTTTAATTTATATATAAGTTGTATAAATGTACATTTCCAAGTAAACTTGCACTTGTATTATAGTGGGAGGTGCAGCCAAATGCTATTGTGAAACCAAGGTGCATTTCCTCCGTATGTATGAGAGCTGTATAAATGTGATGTTAAGAAATAAATGAAACTTGGCCAGTTCGTCCCTCTAGCAGTATACTTAATTTTGGCATAAGTAATTCTTAAAATTTTGTCATGTACACCAGCAGTTTAGACGAAGCCTTAAGCAAATTCTGTATTATTGTCCTCACTTAATATTCATAAAGAAGCAGAAGTTACCTAATTGCCAGCAAATGTCAAAAAGAATATATACTTAGATCACAGATGGAAAATTAAAGCCCAAGAGTGATCCAGTCTGACCCACTACCTGTTTCTGTTCGGCCTGGGAGCTAGGAGTGGTCTTTACATTTTTACATGGCGAAGAAGAAGAATACTTCGTGACCCAAGAAAGTGGTATGAAATTCACATTTCAGTCTCCATAAATAAAGTTTTATTGGAACACAGCCATGGGTGTTTGCTTATGTATCGTCTGTGGCTGCTCTTGTACAACAGCAGAGTCAGATATTTGTGACAGACCGTATGCCCCACAAAGCCTGTTATTTTCTAGCCTTTTACAGAAAATGTTTGTTGACCCTAATTTAGACTAACGTTTAGCATGATGGTGTATCCTCGTTTGAAAAACTGCCCACATTGAAAGGGTCATGCAGCTTTCATTTCTAAGAAATACGTGATCCGCTCCAACTCTGAACGTAATAAAATAATTTCTGTCCATAGTCTGTTTTACATTATCTCTGAAGCTACCACAAAGGGAAATAAGAGTAACCTCACTGTAGAATCTAAGGACCTATATGGCATGTTTTTATTATAAGTAAAACAATAAATTGTCTTCTGATTATTCACTTTATTTCATAAACCATTATCAAGAACTTTATTTGTGCCAGGTATAAATTCTCTGATAACCTGGTTTACAGTGAGTTTCCATGATTGAAGGCTATTGGGTAGAAAATCAGAGTTGCAAATCATACACTGAAATTGGAACTTCTTGCATTTCAATGCATACAAATATAGCCATTTACTTTCCAGCAAAACTCCAGGACATTTAAGCATCTCGACTTAAGTGTTTAGATTTGATGAGATTTACCTAGACAAATAATGAACACGAGGGGAAAAGTTCATGATGTGCTAATAAGAGAACTGAAAGAATACTTGATAAATATCCAATAGCAATAAAAATAATCTTCGCTTATATAGAATTCTGGTATTTTGCTGGTTTCTTCTGTTTTAATTGGAACTAATAATGAAAAGTTGTGGGAGTGAAGATCCAATGAACTCAGTTGCTGGTATTGGATTTCTTCGTATTTATTCGGTTTTGGGGTAGACAGCTGTGTGGTGGAGAGACAGAGTCCAGACTTTGCTGTGTTTGAATTCTTTGACCCTGAGAGAGTTAATCTCAAATAAATTGCTTAACTCCTGATCCACAGTTCTTCGTTTCTAAGATATCTATTTCATATGGAGAGGTTCTGAGAAATAAGATTAAATAAGGGACTGCTATGTAGTTATTTGGAGCCCTGGTGGCGTAGTGGTTAAGACCTTAGCTGCTGTCCAAAAGGTCGGCAGTTCAAATCCACCAGCTGCCCCTTGGAAACCCCATGGGGCAGTTCTACTCTGTCCTATAGGGTCACTATGAGTCAGAACTGACTCGGTGGCACCTAATAACAACAACGTGTAGTTACTCAAATGTTGGATATTTTCCCCCTAACTTTAATGAAAATTCCAGTAAGAACAAACAAATTACCATTTTTTCTTTAAAAATGTGGAACATTACAGAGGCAAATTTTCTTATATTGGTTAGTTATTAAACTTTTTTAATTCTAGTGGATAGCTAAAAAAAGTCATAGATAATTACTTGTAACCATCAAGATTTAGGATTTAGATCATTATTAGATACAATAAATTCAAGGTAACTCACTGGGTAAGTTTACTGAAAATGGGATTGAATTCTTTAGAAAAAAGAAATAGAGTGAAAAGCAAACTTATTTTGATATTCTATGCATACTGGTTAATAATAACGAAGTTACTAAGGTTCAGATAAAGGATTTAAATGTTTCCATTAGAATATAATACTTTGTATTTTAAATTGGACATAAGGAAACCTGATTCATTCAATTAACAAGTTCTTTATTGAGCATGGTGTTCCTGGGGCAGGCAGGAAGGGGGTGTATTCCAGATTCCGGGAAGAATACAGGAGTGCCAGGGCAGACAGGGCCCTGCCCACAGAGACTTAGATTCCAATGATTGGGACATAGTCCAGCGGTAATGTTTTTGTGTGACTAGACCTATGTAGGACGAGCCCCAGTGAGCCTACCAACCACTCCATGGGAGAAAGATGTGGCAGTCAACTTCTGTAAAGATTGACAGCCTTGGAAACCCTATGGGGCGGTTCTACTCTGTCCTCTGGGTCACTGTGAGTCGGAATTCGACTCCACAGCAATGGGCTTTGGTTTTCTGTTTTGTTTTGGTTTTGGTTTTTTACACCAATTTAAGTCATCTAAGACAATGATTGCGTATACTGAAGTGATAAAACATCAAAATAAAGGGCATTTTATGATTAGTTGATATTTATTTTGGAGCCCTGATGGGACAGTGGTTAAGAGCTTGGCTGCTAACCAAAACGCTGGCAGTTCGAATTCACCAGCCGCTCGTTGGAAACCCTATGGGGCAGTTCTGCCCTGTCCTGTAGGGTTGCTACGAGTCGGAATCGACTCAGCAGCAATGGGTTTAAATATTTATTTTCGAAAGAGTAGGTATTTTACTGGAAATATCTTTTTTTTTTAAATGTCCTTTTGTGCCTCAAGTTCATGTTGTGTTCCAGATAAAATTTATAAAAACATTAAGCCTTTGATTAGGCAAAATTATTTTAAAACTTTGTCTATGCAGTTTTAAAGACAACGTGCTTTTGCAAAAAGTCCAGCTTTTCTCCATTGTTCTCCCTAAAATAATTTATAAATCTTTGGAATCCTTGGCATACTATAGAACAAAATTCTGTGAATATTGTCTGTTTCTCCATTTCTGTTTCAGCTTGTAATCCATTCCTCTTTAATCTTGAGATTCAGCTAGTTTTAGGCCGTTGAGGAAGTATAGACTTCTGGATTTGTTTTATCTGAAAAATTTATTACTCAATTACTACTGTTGTCGAGTCAACTATGTTCACTTTTTACCCTCATTCTAAGTTTACATGGAGCCCTGGTGGCGTAGTGGTTAAGAGCTTGGCTCTGTCTTGGTCATCTAGTGCTGCTGTAACAGAAATACCACAAGTGGGTGGCTATAACAGAGAGCAATTTATTCTCTCACAGTCTAGTAGGCCAAAAGTCCAAATTCAGGATGTCAGCTCCAGGGGAAAGCTTTCTCTCTCTGGCAGCTCAGGAGGAAAGTCCATGTCATCAATCTGTCCCTGGACTAGGAGCATCTCTGTGCAGGAACCTCAGGTCCAAAGGACGCGCTCTGCTCCTGGCACTGCTTTCTTGATGGTATGAGGTCCCCAACTCCCTGCTTGCTTCCCTTTCCTTTTATCTCTTGTAAGATAAAAGGTGGCGCAGGCCACAACCCAGGGAAACTCCCTTTACATTGATCAGGGATGTGACCTTAGTAAGGGTGTTACAATCCCACCCTAATCCTCTTTAACATAAAATTACAATTACAAAATAGAGGACAGCCACACAGTACTGGGAGTCATGGCCCAGCCAAACTGATACACACATTTTTAAGGGAACATAATCCAATCTATGACAGTTGCTAACCAAAAGGTCGGCAGTTCGAATCCACCAGCTGCTCCTTGGAAACCCTATGGGGAGTTCTACTCTGTCCTATAGGGTCGCTATGAGTTGGAACCAACTCGATGGCACATTGAACAACAACCCATTTACGTGGAGCCCTCAGGAAGAGAACGGTTAATGAGAAAGAGGTAGAAGAGCAAATGTACGGCATGTAGCTAAATCAGAAGAGGTTCCTGAGGTGTTTTCTTTTTTTTGGACGGGCTTTGTTTCAGAATATTATTCAATATTTTTTCTCACAAACGAAACCCACTATTGTGCTGTATACTCCCCCCCGCCCCCCCCCCGAAAAAAAGAATGAAGGCAAATATATGCATAGTTTTAATGGCATGAAGAAAAGCTTTAGGTCATTTCTGTTTCTTTGCCTCAAAATACTTTGTATTACCTGACTTTTTTCATGAAGTCAGGGGCGGTATTTCTCCAATTTAAAATCTAAACTTAGAGGTGACAAATCTTGACTTTGTATAATTCAATGCTTTTTTAAGCCAGTAGTATTTTTCTGTTAAGAAGATGTGTGATGGAACCCATGGTAGGAGATTTTAATCAAAAATTGATTTAAAAATTGTTTTTAAGTTATCAGCACAACTGGCATATAAAAATAACAGCCACCAGTATTGTCTACTATGTGCCAGACGCTGTGTTAGGTACTTTGTATACTTTCTTATCAGTATGACAACCCTGCAAGATGCTCTCATTCCTGATAAGGATGCTAAAACTCACGAGATGTGAGGGAAGCTCATTTGCTCACACATTCCATTTGGCTGCAAAATCCACAGTCTTAGCACCGTGCTGTACCAGGACACCCACCTAATGAGCAGGTCCTGGCATTGTGTGGTAATGGTTGAATATTTAACATGTTCCTGGAGCAGTGCTAAGTCTCTTACATTGGTCATCAAGCTGTGCCCTTCAACAACCCTACGTGGTAGGGATTTCTCCCCATTTTATGATTGAGAAAGCTGAAGAAGGTTTTAGAAACTCATATGAAATAGGAGCCCAAGGCATTCAGGTCTGCTGGGGCTTTTTGCTTGAATAGAACGGGACAATGGAATCTACTGTTAAAAACCCGTTGCTGTAGAGTGGCTTCCAACTCATAGCACCCTATAGGGCAGAGAAGAGCTGCCCCATAAGGTTCCAAGGCTGTAATCTTTAAGGAAGCAGATTGCCACATCTTTCTCAGCTGGGTTGCTGGTGGGTTCTAACCTCTGACCTTTCATTTAGCACCTGAGTGCTTAACCACTGCACCACCAAGGCTCCTTAATGGGATCTACAATAGCCACAAATACTGTTGCACCAAGTGTATGCGTCCAATTTTCCTATAGGTAAAAAAGCCCTGCACACTGTTGTAGCAAGTGTCTTATTTTGCCCAATAATAAACTCAGGACTGTAGTTCACCCACAAGATTTTAAGCAATTTACCAGAGGTAGCATGTTATACTAGAGTTAGCATGAGATTTGAAGTCAGAAGATTTGAATGAAGGGGCTAGTTTATCACGTATCTAAAAAAAAACCAAAAAAAAACCCATTGCCAGTGGAGTGGATTCCCACTCATAGCAATGCTAGAGGACAGCGTAGAACTGCCCTGTAGAGTTTCCAAGGCTGTAATCTTTATGGAAGTAGACTGCCACATCTTTCTTCTAACCGCCTTTTGGGTAAATAGCCTAGTGCTTAACTGCTGTGCCACCAGGGCTGCTTTATATAATCTAAAGTACCCTATAGATAAAAGTTGAATAATATTTTTGGTCAATTGTTGATTATTCTAGTTTAACAGATGTATTCTAAAGAGTGGAACCGAGATTCCTTACAGCTGGTGGGAAACAATCAAGTCTAACCTTAGAGTGTTCACTTCCTCCTTCATCCTGCCTAAGAGAACGTTGTCTGCACCTGCTTTTGCATAAATGGTGTTGTTTCTCTTTGTAGAGAACGAGTAAGTAGAGAAATAGGGTTTTTATTTTTCAGCAGCAATGAAAGCCTACTAAACTTCTTATTGACTCACCTTTTGATTGGACTTGAGAGTAGCCAGAAAATTAGTTCAGTCCCTCCAATATGTAGGTGAGGAAGCTGAGGCCCAGAATGATTAACTTACTCAAGGATCAGTCCCTCCAATATGTAGGTGAGGAAGCTGAGGCCCGGAATGATTAACTTACTCAGGGACGCTCAGCGGGTTGGTGGTGACACCACTAGATTCAGATCCTGCTTCTCCAGGCCAGCGCACTTTCCTCCGTGCCACACTGCTTCCTGTGGGGCCTGGAACTCATTTACATGGGTGTTAGTACAGTTATCTTCATGGTAAAGCAAAGGCCTCCAATAAATATTTGCTGAGTAAATAATGAATCTAAGAATCAACATTTTAAAATGAGACACATTTTCCTTTTTAAGTTCCAAATTAGTTCTAAAAACACACTTCAAAAGGAATTTAAAATGGATTGGTGTGAAGAAAATATTTGTAGGGTGAATGTATAGGCTATTTGTTGTTGGTTGGCATGGAGTTGTCGCCGATTCCTGGCGATGTTACGCATGATAGAACGAAAGGTTTCCTGGTCCTGAGCCGTCTTCACACTCCTTGGTATACCTGAGTCCACTGTTGTGGTTATTGCGTCAGTGCGTCTCACTGAGGGTTCCCTCATTTTCATTGGCCCTGTTGGGTCACTATGAGTTGGAATCGACTCAGCGGCAACGGGGTTGGTTTGGTTTGGTCTACTTAATATGCCTAGATATTATATAGATA